CGTGCGGCGTGTGCACGGCAGAGATATGGGAAGCCAAACAAACCAAAAGTGGGACGAGACAGCGGGGCTTTACAGAGCTCGTGCCGCGCAGACATGTCATCTGCACGGTTCAATGATCCGAGCCGCGCAGCCGATTCGTCAGCGCAGCGCGGACGTGTTTCCTAGCGACACTCAATAGTCAGCGCTGTACTGACCAATTTAAAGCAACGCAAACCATATGCTACATACTACATGCAAATAAATATACAATAAAGAAACCCCTCCTTCCTTACAAAGAATTGTTCTCTACTGAAGTTTAGGAGTTAATTATGGAGAATTCCATAATTAAAACAATCATTTGTTAATATTTATGTAAATTTAATATATAATATACATAATATTATTTAATATGTAATATTTATTAAATATAAAATATGTTAATATAACATATTACCATTTTTATTTTATATTTATTTTAAACATATTTTAAATATGTTAATATAACATATATTAAACCCCCCCCCCCCCCCCCCCCCTAACATTACATTCATTGAGATATACCTCCCTGAAATGAATTCTTGTAGGTTGGGATGTCTGTATATGCAGCATAGATATATACACGGCTGTGCAGCTGCAAATGCGTTTTACATATAGGTTTCAGTAAATCGAGGAAAAGGAGTTTCCGAAGACATTTGTTGGCTATGATAAGAAAAACTACTGAATTAAAAAAAAAATTGCATTTTATATTCTCATACATTTCATACATTTTATATTTTACATTTATATAAGATATAAGATATTACATTTTAGATTTCATACATTTTAGACCGTTTCAATTAAATTGAATTAGACAGATTGGATTATACATCTTAGAATCGATACATCTTAGACTCTGAACGTTTTGTGTAAACAACACAATTTTATTTTATTTTCAGATATTAATGTAGCACAGATATGCATATGATTAATATAGCAAATGTAAGATACATAATATATGTATAAAAGTTCATCTTTTCTGTGCAAAAATAAATATGTATCGAAAAAATTTACCTCTATTTATTTTAGTAGTGTGACTTGACTTTACTTGAAACTTATCAGGACTTGACTTGACTTGCTTAGGGTGAACCCTTGACTTGACTTGACTTGCTTGATTTATCTGAACTGCGACTTGAGACTTGACTCGAGACTTGATGGTTAAGACTTGAGACTTGCTTGGACTTGACCATGTGTGACTTGTCCCCACCTCTGCCATTAACACCCAAAGATGGGGATATGTGACATCTGGAAGGTTCTGGCAGTAAATGGATAATATAAGGCCACCAGATGGGGCAAATCATTCAGCTTCCCGGCTCACAGAAAACTTAAAAATGCTGCCTTCAGAGGACACATTCCAAGGTAGGAAGGCATCAAAGCACATCCAAACCCAATGTTAGCTTCACTTCCTTTCTCCTGAGATACCTTCATCTGATTAAGTTTTGAAGGCAGCATAGATGTATCCTTCACTGCCTTTGATATCCCACAATCCTGTGCTTTCCATTCTGTGACAGTTGAGCTAGAAAAAGAAGGCATCTGAAAGTTGCGATTGCTGGTCAGTTTGTTTGTAAATTTAATTTTTTTTACCAACATTTCCCCACATCTGATGTAATTTCTAGCGAGAAATTACTGCTTTAATAATTATTTTTGTTCTCACCATGTCTTGCTCTACTGTATTTTGCTGTAGATTATTAAAGGTTCTCTGAGCGATCCTGGGTGTTGTTGACGTTCGGAATATTTTAAAACAAATCGGAGGCTAGCTAGACCCTCCCTCCGCCGCATCTCATCTCCTCCCCCTCCCTTCAGTCCTTCCTGAAATAATTGTGAACGTGCATAGTTCTAGCTAATTATATCATTGTGTGGGTTTGGCGAACATAAAGCGTCAATTTAGAAGAAAAAAAAAACAATTTAACGTTACACACATGTCCAGCAAAAACAGAGCAACCTGACGTCGGACTGGAAGCCCTTCTGCCGCCGGAGTTCTCGCCATCGTTCAAAAGCTTTGCTACCGATGTAAATTCGGAACTTCGCATGTTCTTTATTCGACTCCTTCTTCTTTTTAATTTGTTCTTCAGAACGACGTCTATTTGGTCGTGTGTCGGCCATTTTTCAAACTTCCCTCGGCCTCTGATGCTTCTATCTCCTTCACACACACACCCCCTTCATGTGCACGCGCACTAACCCCCCAGACCCACCCTCAAATACTTCTTGCCAGTGATTGGCTGGAACACTGTTTGTTAGGTTTCGTGGTCCGGGTGAGACATGATTGTTTTTGTTGCCGTTTGTGGAGCCTGTGGTGTCTACAGAGACCGCGTTTTTTTACAGTGTGTTTGGGGGACAGGCAGCTAGCCGATAGTGAGGAGACGTTTGATGTATGTGACAAAAAATGTTTTGGCCCCACATCGCTTAGAGAACCTTTAAACTGTTATGCTGACTCAGAAGTCTGTCCGAAATTCGTGGGGTACCTTCTTGGGCAAACACTGCCTGCAGAGTCATTGTCTATGGCAGTGAGGAAACAATCAGCTGCCGAAATTTTCGGATGCAGCCAGTGTTAAGGCCTCATTATGCTTCTGCATCAACTCCACGGCGTAGCTACGTCGTCACTACTACGACGTCGTGGCCGTTTTATACTTCTGCGTGAGGTTGTGGTGCTTCGCGGTGCATTTCGCCACCAGAACGCTAGGGGGGTTCGCGAATCACTTTGGTTCCGTGCGCCGCGAGCGAAAGAGAGATAATGTTGTTGCAGCTGTCAGCTGGAGAGCTAATCGACGTTGAATAACAAGACGACACAAAACTTTATCCCCACAGAATCAACACGGATGTCCAGGGCCCGTTCCACCCATAGACAGTAAAATAAAGGTGCACTCGAGCTGCCATAACGATAGCTGTTCGGAATGACTTGAAGGATTTTTTCAGTCTCCACATGGAACTGTGCTATGGCAGGATAATGTGTCCCGTGGCAGACTTGGTTAGTACTGTATTATCAATGATGTAACCGTGAACATTGTATTGAAAATAAACAACAAACTGTGTTTCAAAACAAACGTTGATTTATTGATTGATTGAAGTTTATTGCGAGAAAGAAAGAAAAGAATATAGACATATTAACAATGAAATAAAAAAACAGTTTATTAGAACGAGGGTGCAAATGTTAAAAATAGCGCTATAACAGGAGGGGGAAATCGGAAAAGCTACACTCCTGAAATTATGTTTAATCTGACCAATCAAAGCCCTTGCTGTCTGCGTCGCCTCGACGCGTAGTTACAAATTTTTGGAGGTGCACGTCGAGCTACGGCGGAGGGGTCGGAGAGGGGTTCGCGTCGACGGATAGGGGTCTGCGGGGGTACGCCGTCGATTCGACGCAGAAGCATAAAACAGGCTTTAGATTCTCTTGATTTTGCTGATTGGTTAGTTCCACAACATATGAGATTTCTGAAAAGATTGTAAGCTGCACTAAAGTGCTTGTGGGGAAAATAATTTATTGAAGATGAACTTACTACCTCGGTGTAGCAGTCTAGGACTGGTAAAATCTCATGAAAGTTTGAAAGCACGAACATAATTTCTCGTGGCATTTATACGCCAAAAACAGTTTTTGCGTGTATATGGTATCGCGTGCATATGATACGCACTTTTTGGTGTATAATACGCACGAACTCCCCACCCCCTCCCCCCTAAACCTACCCCAGGGTTTTTAGTGCATAGCATAAGCACACAAAAAACATTTTTGGCGTATAAATGCCACGAGAAATGACATTCGTGGTATAGATACACATCTTCATGAGACTGTGTTGCCAAATCTGAATCTGAAATCTTAAATCTGCCATAAATCTGAAGTGATTTATGGCAATAAATGCAAATGAAACTGCTGAACAGCACTACTACAAATTTATGAGGATGAAATGCAATAATTTTAAAAGCAACATATTTATAAGATTTAGATACAGAACAATTTACTTTAAATTTGAGCCCATCATTTAAGCTAATTTGAGTTCATTCTCCAACTATTCCGGGCTACTTAACAGTATCATTTCATAAATCCTTGGACATTTACTGAACCATGATATTTTGACTAAACCATATTTCAGCCGAAACATTAACCTTTAAATTCTGGCCACTGAATCTAAAAATGTCCTTAAAGGGATACTCCACTTTTTTGGGAAATAGGCTAATTTACAACTCCCTCTGGGTTAAACGTTTGAGTTTTACCGTTTTCTAATCCATTCAGCCGAATTTCTGATATTTAGAATTTCACGTCGATAAAGATGACAGACGAGTGGCTTATCCAATCATATGCAGGGATTTTTGATAAGGCCCAGCCTTCTGAAACGCCATTTCAATGGATCGGTTCCAGATGGATGAGTGGAGCTAGGCGGAGGTGACTAGGGCCAGGTTAACTGGGAAGTCCAATCATTTTTTCTACTAATTTCTCATTCTCAGTGAAACACTGCCATCTATGGTTTGACAAGTGTGTATGGTACAGAGTGGCCAAATTGTACTTGCAGTCAGCACAAATTAAAAAAAAGGTTTTACACAGCATGATCATTATTTATTTGCTTTTACTGTTGAACATATGTATCCATTATTTAAGAGTATAGCTACAACATCATATTGTTTAAAGTTTAAAAAATTGTGACTTTGTGTGAATTTAAGTGGTGAGTGTTTAGCACAGCATACAGTATGAGGTAGCTTTTAAGTACAGAATTATGTCCAAGCATTGTACGTCATATTCTATTCGCTAAAATCTGTTGCCACAGACTCAAGACAATTGGATTGACTGACTGTTAAAATTCTAGTCAGGTGGTTTACTGTTTGGTAAGTTTAGTCTGTTTAGTCTATTCATATTTAAATACCATCCTTAAGTGTTAACTTATCAAAAGCAATAAATCTTACTATTTGACCACAATGAGTATTCAACAGAGAACATTGCATGGTTTGCTTTTGGGTGGACCAGTGTTTTTCGGGCAGAGTGAAAACAATTTAGTTTTTTCATATTTTTTCTCAAAAGTCTCAAAAATGTATATCGTTTAAAAGGCTGTTCTCTAAATACATGATTTTAATGCTGGTTATGGTATCAATACTCACTTTAATGAGTGGTTTTAAACCTTGTCTTTTTATATGACCGAGAAATTATGCTGTTAAAACAAACTTTGTCCAACTCTCAGATCAACACAGACAGATATCCTCTTAATATTACTGACTTTTTTTTTAGACACCAAAGTCACAATTACAACGACACAATGTGTGTTTAAAAGCAAAAAAAAAACAAAAAAAAACAACAACAAACAAACAAACAAAAAAAAAACCCACTAATCCGATGCTTTGAAAGATTATTAGATTAGATTGATTCTGGCCTCTCAGTAGCAGAGGTCTCTTCAAGACGCAAATACATCCAAGTGTACTTTAAATACACTGTCATAGAACTAGCCCTTTATGACTTGACTTAAAAAAAGAAACAGTTCACCTTAAAAAAACATAATTCTGTCATCACTTACTCACCCTCATGTCATTCCAGCTTTGGAACATCAGGGTGAGACCATTTTTGGATGAACTATACCATTAAGACTTCAGTTTATTTATAACAAAACAGGATGTGGTTTGATAATTCATCAATATATTATAGGTTCATTAATTAATTATAGGTTTAAGGACAATGCCAAATGACACAAGCCCTGAGACACAATGTTTGATGATCCATCATGTTGGCTATTTCCTGTTGATTGGGCTGCAATTGCAAGTCAATTCCTAGTAGCAATACACAACAGCAGGCGTGCCACACTGCCCATTCAATAAGAAGCCAGAAAGAAAGTGACATCATCAGCTCCCTCGAGTTGAGTACCAAAGTCGACTGTTAACTTCTTCCAACAGGTGTAGTTATGACACCAGAGTTGTGTTCTTGAGTACTTTTCAACTTGTTTCCCTTGTCCTCTTTGTCATCTTCAATTTATTTTGTTTTAGTGCTGAAGTAAAAAGTTTGTTGCGATGTTAATGTCATTATTAGATGCTCTGAGAGCTTCTTGGGCATCCATCCTTGAGAAACCCATCTCCATTAATCTTGCAACCTAATAAAATAAAAATTTAGTATCTGGCAAAAATAGTTGAATCTGGCAACCCATGAGGCTAAACAAATCTTCCTGATAGATGGTGTAATTAATAAAGTGTGATGAAACAGTACTTGAGATCTCACCTGTTCTTCGCCCACATCAGGGTTATTCGGCGGGTGCGTATAGGGGGGCCGTTGTGGCTGAGGACCCTCTTGGTGCCGGTTCTGTCCTCTGTGCCGTAAAGTGGGGAAGAATCGATTCCAATTCAGGAGACCTGTCTGATGTGGACAGCCATTAATAACAGAAATTAAACATCACATTTTAAACACAAACATCACCTGTCAGCATGATCCCAACAACATTTTTATAGCGTAAGCAGACTCTAGGCCTAAATTCATTAGTACATAAATATCAAAAAATGTCAGAGAATAAGAATAAATAGCTTTTCTCATTTTCATAAAAGGACAAAATTATCTTCTTCTATCAGGCATCTGTGATGAAAACGTGGGTATCTGAGTTTGTTTACAGGAAACCATCAACTTCCTCTCGTTCAAAAACAAAGAAACTAAATGGAAAAGAAAAACAAGAATATCTTGTCTGATTTGAGTGACATAAATATGGAAATGGAGCTTGTTCAATGTTTTTTTTTTTTTTTGGTTTCTACTCTGATAAGGAAAACATTACTGAGTTATGGAAAACATTACACCCTTCTAACAGCATGGTTTCTAGTCTAATAATATGTGAACATACCCTGATGGGAAAACACATAAAGGGAAAATAAAATTAAATTCCATTTATACCAATAATTTCACATTCATCGCACATGCTGCTGTTTTGAAAAAGCAGATCTTGATTAGGTTGACTGCAACAATCAGGTAAAATTAAACCAAATACAAAAAAACAAACAAACAAACAAACACCTAAAACACTAATTATGACACAAATTCACCTAATTTACATATCCAATCCGAAAACATAGGACATAGTACCTGACCTGAATCAGTGAATCCAGGGCTCCAGACTAACTTTTTGCCTTGGTTGCACTGGTGCGCCTAACTTTTTTATTTAGGTGTACCCAAATTTTTTCTCGTCTCGCGTCGCCTTTAACGTCACAATTTCAAGTTCACCTTTTTATCATGCTCCATATACATTCATATATAATATGTAAATGATTTTAAACGAGAATAAGGTGTAGGTAAATACTTGTTTTTATATATATATATTTGAAGAGTTCAGATGCAAAAGCCTCTAAGTGCCATTTAAAATTTTCTTCTAGAATGATCATTTTTATCAAGCTTGTATATTTAAGTTCAGTTCTTTCACTTAAATGGCAATGATAATTACCTATTAATTGTTATTTAAGTGAAATTACTGAACTTAAATATACAAGTTTGATAATAATCATCATTAAAGAAGAAAATTTCAAATGGCATTTAGAGGCTTTTGCATCTGAACTCTTCATTTGAAGCACAATGATACTGTATACAAAACTATATATATATATATATATATATATATATATGAAGAGTTCAGATGCAAAAGCCTCTAAATGCCATTTGAAATTTTTCTTCTTTAATGATGATTTTTATGAAACCTGTATATTTAAGTTCAGTAATTTCACTTTAATAACAATTAATAGGTAATTATCATTGCCATTTAAGTGAAATTACTGAACTTAAATATACAAGTTTGATAAAAATCATCATTAAAGAAGAAAATTTCAAATGGCATTTAGAGGCTTTTGCATCTGAACTCTTCATATATATATATATTAGTATTATTTTTATTTTTTTTTAATAAAAAAATGTTTAAAGTGCTTCCATCAACATATCCAGAATCATTAGGCACTACTCTCAGGTAAGGGTGTGTTTTGTTTTGATTAAAAGGAACCCTGGTGTGATTGCTCTGTCAGTGCAGTTCATTTGATGAAGTGAGAATGCTGCTATCCGAACCCTGGTGCTGAAAAGATGGGTCTCGTTCTGCTTCCAAGTGAACTGGAGCAGTTTGAATGAAATATGAAAGCAACACGGACCAAAGACATGTAAACAAACTAAAAACAGGACATGATATCAAAAGATGCGACCCTAAAAATGACAGAACTCTCAAGCATACTTGTTTTGTTTCTTGTGATAGTGGCGATGTTGCCCATCACAAGTTCGGTCCAGGCATCAGCAGCAGATCAAAATACCATCATAGGTACAGTAGGCTATGCACATACAACAAATGCATTTAGACCAGCACACAGGATAGTTTGTAGTTCGGTAAGTTCCGTCACAAAATACATGTCATAAAAGCCGGCCAATCAGGTTTTGAAAATATCCCTATGACTTTAGATTCAGTATCTTTAGGTTCACTGTTAAAAACGCCAATGTGGACGCTAATCGGACCAGGATTTTTTTTTTTTTTTTTTTTGGGTCCAGACCAAATGAACCAAGCAAGCTGAACTACAAGTGTGAACACACCCTGACTTAATTAAAAAGCTAAAAAAAAACAAACAAAAAAACAATACATAAAACGCAAGAAATCATAATTCTTTTATTTTCTTCCCTAAATAATTGTTGCCGTTTCTGATTTTTAAAAAAGGATTTTTTAAAAATCAGAAAAATAGAACAAACTACTTAAACCATGGCTGTAAGTGAGATATAAGATGCCCTTATCTCTTGTAAAATTGAATATACCTTCAGCTGTCTCCTAGTTCTTAAGGCTAGTTCCTCTTTGTCATTTGAGGGGGTGATGGAATAGCCTTGTGGTTAAAGCTCTGTACTGATAACAAAAATGCTATAGGTAAGTCACTTAAGCCCAGGAATTTCCAGAGGGACTCTCCCTGTAATACAAGTACTGTAGAAGTACCTGAGCCTGCTGTTGCTGTGCATTTCTCCTGAGGTGTGCCAGCTGAGTCAGGAGCAATTGCTGGTCCAGCATATCCATCCTCTGCTGTCTCTGGATGTCCAAAGTAGCACCCATCCCCAGCGGAGCCTCTGCAGTGGGCTCAGAATCTGAGAAGACCGGCTCCAGGAGCACAGAACCACATCGGGCCATCCATTCTGGCACACGCAAGAACTTCTGGACAGCCAACTTATTACTGTAATAAAACATGCCTGTGATCTGGAACAGAGTGATTGTAAAAGCTTACCATTCAAACATGACAGTAACGCAACAACAACAAAAGAAAATGGAACCTATTTTAATCAATGATGTTGTAATAAAATCCCAGAGTAAACCGATGCCCCATTAGGAACAGTGTAGACAGCCTCAAGCTGTGCCACAGTTAAATTGTAAGTATTTTCAAGAACCTTTCAAAAAATATTTCTAACAAATCAATAATGAGCCAGAATAATGAAACCATCAGATCAGAAGAGTTTAGTTGCTTTTAGTCCATTTCTATTAGCTTTTAAGAGATTTACTATATGGTAATGTACTTCTGAAAGTTGACAAATATTTCCTCATCCACCCACAAATATTTTCCTCATCTACGCAGTAGCAGCTCATTTTGCTAGCAGAGACAATCCTCAAGACAGTTCGACCACCTGGACGTGTCATTGCAAACCAGTTTGAATTTATTTATTCAGTGGAACTAAAAGGAAGAAATGTTCAATTATGTGTGCTTTTTTCTTGTCTATATACAATTAATGTCAATGAAGCCTAAAGTTTTTTCTGACCCCATTGACTTTCATTGTATTGGCAAAAACTAAAACAGTCTTCAAATTATTAAAGAGGGTACAGGAAGTTTTTCATCTTTTTAATATATTTTCTTACAAAAAAACACCATCACTTTAAGCTCTAATGGTAAATCATCCTATAGTAGGAACCTATTTAATGTTACCTAGCTAATTTCCACGGTCCCTCCAAAAATCTCCAATAGAATCTTTTTTCTATGACTAGCAACAACTTCTCAGACCAATGGATCTCGCTTTATGGACTGTGTCACATTGAATTTCACTATGCACTTGTAATCAAACTTGCTAAAGTCCATTTCTGATCAAAACAAGCAAACACAGAACTGTAATGTGATGGAAATCTATGTGAGCCGTTATTCTTACCAGTCCACTACAAGCAACAATCCACATGTAGGCACTTGACGTCAGGAGCTGATGAGGAGATAAAAGAACAGACAACAGAAGAAATTCAGAACTTTCACATTTACAAAATATCTCTGGCGCATCTGAAACCAGCAACACCAGCCCTAAATACATCCATAAACAATTGCAGGAAATAAAGAACCATCTTACTTGACGCAAGAGTAGAACAAACAAACTCAAACATTAACTTAATGAAACCAAATCATCTAATATTACAAGATTAATATGCGTTGGTTAGTTGTAAGTAGTTATGTTAAAGCCTGCTCGAGTATGCAGGACTGAAAATGGTGATGAATCTATAAATGTTCAAATGCCATTTACTCTTGTCTGTTTTTCTACTGAGTAAATGTACAACTTCTGTAAACTGTTATCTTTAATATCAAAAAACATCCCCGAAACACAAACCACAACGAATGTTCTCAGGTACTACAGGATTTCTCATGACTCTTGCCTCTGTTATCTTACAGACATTTTATTTGTGGTTTCTGCTCTTGCAAAATGGTGTTTTAGCCATTTAAACTGCATGTGAATTTCACTTGCTTGTGAAGAAAGACTGCCAGTAAATGTCACTTATTATCTTGAGATCTCATGCAGAAGTGGTTTTAGCTTTTTATATGTAGCTTTTTTATCTGGAGTTAAAGGGTTAGTTCACCCAAAAATGAAAATTCTGTCAGTATTTACTCACCCTCATGTTATTCCAACCCTGTAAGACCTTCGTTCATCTTCGGAACACAAATTAAGATATTTAAGATATTAAGATCACTCCTGCATACTAGTCCATAGGCTTCTTGAGGGAATGACAATTGCTGGCCTTGAAAAGTCATTAAAGACATCGTTAAAATAGTCCAAGTGACTATAGGGGCTCAATCTTAAGTTTATTAAACGACGAGAACACTTTTTGTGCGCACTTTTTGTGTAAGTCACACGCATCACACACATGACCAGCATCGGCCAATAGTGAGCCTACGTGTGACGTAGCTCTACGCTATCACACTACGTTAACTGACTACAGGCCCATAGAGAAGGAAGTGAATAGTTGAAATAAAGTCGTTATTTTTGTTTGTTTTTGCGCACAAAAAGTATTCTCGTCGTTTGATAAACTTAAGATTGAGCCACTGAAGTCACTCGGACTATTTTAACGATGTCTTTAATGACTTTTCAAAGCCAGCAAGTGTCATTCCCTCAAGAACCCTATGGACTAGTTATGCAGGAGCGATCTTCAGGGGATATCTTAAATATCTTGACTTCATTTGTGTTTCGAAGATGAACGAAGGGCTTACGGGGTTGGAACAACATGAGGGTGAGTAAATACTGACAGAATTTTCATTTTTGGGTGAACTAACCCTTTAAACTAGCAAAATGGGGGGGGAGGGGTAGTCTGAGCTCACCTGTGCACCCACAATGTATGTCAGAGACTTGTTTGTGATTGAGACATGGCCAAGCAACTGAGTGACCTGAACACGTGGGATGGAGTTGTAGAAAGGCACAAAAAGAGCAAAGACTGGGCCCAATCTGAGAAAGAGAGAGAGAGAGAGAGAAAAAAAAAAATCATTGAAAGTCAATCCTCAACCTTGTTAATGGTGACATATGATAGTGTCTAAAGTGTAAAATCTAGTTTAAAACACATGAAAGTTGTTAGAAATATTATCCTCGTCTTAGTTTCATATGGTTTAGAAAAAAAAGTAGAAAATATATACAAAAATATATACATATGCAAAAAGTATTTTCAAGAAATGTTTAAATTTAGTGACATGTTTTTGGGGTCTACTAGAATAGGTTCTAATGATTACATTTAAATAAATAAATAAATCATATATGTTACACTGTTGCAGAACCTCTCTTCTCAGTCTGTCAGTAACGTTCTGTTTAGTTCTTCTCTAATAGAGAAGCTCTGTGGTAAGTAGTTTCAAAGTAGTTTTAAGATGGAGGAAAGCAGATGAGCCAATAACATGAACGTCAAATTCTCAGTACAATGAAGCAACAATGATTGCAAAATTCAGAATTTTTTATCAACCATTTAAAGATGTGCAGAAAAGTAACTGATAATGCCAACTAAAGTAAATTAATTAAGAACAAAAAAAGTTTCTTATTTTAATTTTTTTAGTTCCTCTGCATTGTTTCCTTGATGAAAAAAAAAATGATAGGACTTAACTCAAGGTTCACTTAGTTTTATAATGTAATTTGTAGTAATGTAGGAAACTAAATGTGTTTCTCAATGGGGATTCAACACAAATCAAAAGTAATGGTTGTCTGACGTAAAAAATGACTTGATGTCACTTCCCCATATAAACTTAAGCAGCCTCCCCGCTACTAGAAAGAGAAAGAGGTAAAAGGAAAGAGAGGAACAGAGTCACAGACAGTTAGAAAGAGGCAGGAAGAGATGCTAAACTCTCATTTTATACTGCTACATTTTAAGTTAGATTAGATATAGAGAAAGAGTAGCACAAATGTCTGACTAAAGATCTTCTTTATGCCATCTGGTGAGTATACCATTCCATTTCATTAAATTATAGATAGACAGAGCAGAGAAGATAAAAGTAAATACATCATGGAAAGAAAAATGTTTCAGAAAATATTTTACATAATTTTATGGTGGCTATGTTTGCAATGGTTTACACAAAAATATTAAGCAACATATTAACTGTTTTCAAAATTGATTGAATGTTGAATAGATGAAAGAAGTGTTACTTTAGCACCAAATCAGCATATTATAATGTTTTATGAAGGATCATGTGACATGAAGAATGGAGTTAGGGCTCCTTTGTTAGAATAGGAATAAATTACATTTTAAATTACATTAAACTAGAAAACAGTTATTTTAAATTGTAATAATAATAATAACAATTCACAATATTACTGTTTAAACTGTTTTTTTTTTTTTTCAAAAACATTAAAAAAAAAAAAAATTGTACAGACCCCAAACTTTTGAGTGCCAGTAAATAATACCAGTTGCCTCTCTTTTTTTCAGTGAACTCTCCAGTGTACAACTATGACGAATCTAAATTTCAGCCAAAACTGCAGCAACCTGTATGACCATCGTCCGGTGGCACGAGTTCTCATACCTCTGATCTACTCCATCATATGTCCAGTGGGACTTTTTGGAAATGCCCTGGCTCTTCATGTGGTGATCTCCAAAATCACCAAACTTAATTCAACCACTCTTTATTCTGCCAACCTGGCTGTGTCTGATATCCTATTCTGCCTGTCGCTTCCCTTACGAGCTGTTTACTATGGCCTTGGCTTCAACTGGCCCATGGGGGAAGGACTCTGTAAAGCCACAGCACTGCTCTTCTATTTAAACTGCTATGCCGGAGTTAACTTCATGACCTGTCTGGCAGTCGATCGTTTTGTGGCGCTGGTGTTTCCTCTGAGACTGATGAAAATGAGAAAGGCAAAAAACGCAAGGTTTGTGTGTCTGGCCATATGGCTTCTGGTGTTTGCCCAGACACTGCCTCTCCTGACTATTAACTTAACCAAAAAGGAGTCTGATGGCAGCATCACCTGCATGGAATACCCCAATTTTGAGGGAGTTTTCAAAGGGCTGCCCTACATGCTGATCATAGGAGTAGTTCTAGGCTTTGTCGTCCCGGTTGCGATAATTATCGCTTGCTATTCCATACTGACCCATAAATTATGTCTAGCAGCAAAGTCGAATCGGATAACCGAACGTTCTGGAAGGACCAAAAAAGCAAGAGGAGTTATCGCTGGGGTGGTATTTGTATTTGTGGTGTGTTTCAGCCCATACCATCTAGACCTCCTGCAATACATGATTCGGAAACTTCTCTATAAAACAGACTGCATGGAGCTTCAGTCCTTTCAGATATCCCTGCATATCACAGTGTGTCTTATGAACATGAATTCATGCCTGGATCCCTTTGTTTACTTCTTCGCGTGTAAAGGCTATAAGCAGAAAGTGATGAGGATGATGAAGTGGCAGGTTAGCACCCACTTCTCCAGTGTTGGAAGAACCTCACCTGAAAGTTCAGGGACTGGTGATGCGCACGGCACACGCCGCAAAAACAACAAAATACCTATGAACTCTATAAGAGAAGGTCAGTAAAACTGTTACCGTCAAAAGGCGACATAAGGTGATGAAATGTCACAACAAACTTGGAATTGAGGATTAACCCTCTGGGGTCGGCAAACGCGCCGACGTGTTTTGCTGGATTTTCTTCACATAGTAGCACAATATACTTATTTTCTCCATTTATGTTCATACAGAAAAAAGAAAAATGAAAAAGAAATCTGTGAGATGTCTAATTTGTATGTGTCCACTTACAATAAAAACAAAACATTGTGCTTTTGTAAAATAAACACGGTATGCTTTCTGCCTCTCTGTCTCTGTGAACTTTTTTTTCTTGAGCACGTCTATAAACTGAAACAAAACTCGGCAAATACTTGTCACACATTTAAAGTCATATATCTTTATAAACATTTACGTGTGTACTTTTAAATGGTCTGATTCAAAACGAAAACAAATATTCTTTAAGTAATTTGTATAAAACCAACAAGATGTCCAGTTTCTCAAACCTTTGCTCATTAGAATTAATGTGACCACGCCCACACACGCGCAAAAAAGATTGACATGCAAATCTCCATGTGAAGGAACGCAAACATTACCTCAAAAGCGAAGCACCAAACTTCAGACCTCTGCTTTTTGTCGAGTTTAGAAAACACGCTGTGAAACTTACATTGGATTTACCTCAGAAGAAGAACGCGATTTGAAGACAAGAATGATGTAAGGTAAGAAATTTATTCTGAATTATATTTGTTAGTGTTACTGTTGCATAAACTTCACGTTACAGTTGAATTGTTGCTAGACTAAAATGTATGAATTCGACAGAAACATTTTGAAATATGAACTATAGACAGGCAGGCTAGCTTTCAATGCGAAATGTATATTCATGTACAAGGTTGTTTTTATGTTCGATAATAAAACACAGCATAATATAAAAAGTAGGCTAGCATGAGTGTTTACTCTAATATGCGGAATAGTATAATGTTTAGACCCGGATTTACAGTTAAATAGTGTGTTTGTGGATATCTGCTCAAACGTAGATATGTATAATATGGTAACAATAATGTTACAAAGTTTGGAGCGGCTCGATGGCATTGTGCGTTTCAAAAGCAAAAAGCACCAAACATTACGCTTCATGTTTTAACGAGCGGCTTGTTTTAAAATCTTCCCTGTCTACAGACATTTGTTTAGACATCTGCTTTAAACATTACAATCCTCATGATAACTTTCGTTAACTTTAACTAATAAGTGAATTACTCCTGGAAAGCAATGTCATAGAGATATACCACATAGTGACCACAAAAACGGAAATTCAAAGACAATATTCTAAAGATGGCTGTGCCCTTGTTTCTCTGGTGCATAAAGTCTATAGTGGCTCTTGATATCAGCATGTTCACAGCTGGGTTTTTTTTTTAGTGTTTATTGTTGTTGTTTTTTACAGAGTCTTGCTAATGTAAACATTCACATAAGTCTCTGTACATGAACATGGTAAAGTGAAAAGCATTGGAAACGACAGGTATTAACTATGTTTCAGGAATGGCACAAAGTCTGTCTTAAGTTTAGTGTTTTAAATCATGTGCTTTTTTTAATCATTTGTTGTGTATCTTTGCATTATGTTGTGTTGTAAATAAATCCAAACAATCAAAAAGCCATTCTTTTTTAAAGGAGCATTTCACCCATTTCAACATTAATCTTTATTGAAAGTGGATCATATATGTAGTCGAAATGTAAAATATTTTTTTTTATTTGGTGCCCTTTTGAAAAAGAAAAGACAGAAAATAACAGAGGGACGCAAGACAACAACTCCCACAATGCACCACATTGCACAGCTCCGCAAGCCACACCCACTAATCTGGAACAGCGCACACATCAGAGAAATCCCTCTTCCGTCTACAAGGCTAATGCTAGCTGTCACCAGAGTTTGAAATTCATTTCACACAAAATTTCTAGTTAGTTGATTGTGGCGAGCAGGACGATCGAGGGCGAGGGACGTAAGAGGTCGGTGCGCTCGAGATCGAGGGAGAAACAGGCCTGGTGATTTTATGTTGTGTTTTGTTTCTGTTGTGAGTAACGTTACAGCAGTCGTGACAGGCAGGCGCCTCCTGTTCCTTCATCAGCCTCAGCTGCTCTTCACTATACTGCGGGTCGTAAAGATAGCCACGAACATCGGATTCGGGCAGCAGAATTTCAAAATCCTCTTCTTCCATATCATGTTTAGTTTCATCCATCATTATCATACTTCCTATCTCCACAGCGTTTGTTAGCTTAGCTTCCAAACTAGATGGCTGATATATTGATTCAGTATCTGCAAGTGAAGTCCCACCCACTGATCTCTAATAGGCCTGTAGGGTGAGTGGGTCCCAAACCTTTGAATAATAATAATGAGCTAATGTTTGTAGTCTCTACACAGTTAAATGAAATATGACTTCCTGCTTATTATGACGCAAAATGACGATTTTTAAGCCATGATAAGAAGGAAGTAAAACACTTAAATCCTTATTTCTCCCATCTCAGGGGGAAATAAGGGAATAAACCATGACCATTCAGAAATATGACTGGGTTTCTAAAGATACAAAGCTTAATGCAAATGGGTGAAGTGTCCCTTTAAATCTCCTTATTCTTTGTGCAAGGCTACTCATAATGATAGGGCCTGATAGCACCAGATAGGGCCATTTTGGGAGGGTCTTTGTCTTTCTCAGGTGTGAAACATCAATATTCACGATGATTCACGCCTACTCGCATAAAGCTTTCTTACACAAAACATGTCTTTCAAAATTTAAATCAATATATTGTCTTATCTGAATGAGTAGTCAGGTAGTCTGGCATGCCAGACCTACATCAAGATGTTAGGGCTGGGAACTCATCATTGACAGGACTCAATCCGAAAGGTGGGATAAACTTTTGTCTTTCAAATTCTCTCTGCACGCAATTGGATAGCGCTACAACCAATCAGAGCAACGAAGAAGGTGACGGCTGAGTCCCATGCATTTTCCCACCAGCGGAGCAAGTTGATACATTAAACTTTTACCGTATCCAGTCGGCAAAACTCCGAACACATCTTTTTTATTTTATTTTCAATGAGTCAAATGCCGTTCTTTGTTCTGGTTTCAAAGAAAAGCTTAAGTTCAAATCATCCAGAGTAGCGGTCAAAGCCAAATCGAAAGACATCTGTTCGCCAGCAGCAGCCATTTTTTGCTTTCAAGTAGCAGTGAACAGTCGCAACTGTCGTCATTATGTTAAGCCCGCCCGCCGACTCTATACACGATGTGATTGGCCTGACCAGAGTTTGCTTTTTCCATCTAAAACATCTATGGAGAGTTGCTAGACCACACTGGCTGCGAAACAATTTTTGCTGCCGCTAGGGTGCGTCTAGATTTCTAGGCTAGTAGTCAGGATGATTTACACATGGCATTATTGTTTCTAGGCTATGTGATACAGTTTTCAAAAGTCTTGTGAAGAAATGATCAGAATGGGTTTCATGACCTTACTTCAGTGACACTTATTTTTAGTTTTTTTTTTTCACAAACCACGCATAAATGTCATTATCACTAAACTACAAACTTTTATATACATGCTGCTGACATATTATTGTAACAGAGTTGTGCAGTGTAATCAGACTTTAGCCATGAAAATGACACAAGTAACAGAAATAAGTACAAATGTCAGAGCATGTTAGAACCTCCAGGGCCCAGAAAACACCTCAGACCCCACAAATGGCCTAGATAGTCACTAATGGTCAACAAATGCATCCCTCCACATTTTAAACAGCACACACTTCATGAAACAGGTGGACGTTAGGCAAGCAGCCCTGCCATCCATGTTGAGAGAGAGAGAAAAAAAAAATCAAAAACACTATTCATTTAAAATGTAATTGATAATGGGAAAATTTTGTCATTTACTAACCAGTTTCAAAACGGCATGACTTTCTTCTATGGAACATAAAAGAAGACATTTTAACAAATGTCTAGCTGGTGTGGCTTGTTTTTCCCTTTTTTGGACCATATAATGGAAGTATAAATATCTTTTTCTCATATAATGGAAGTATAACTATCTTTTTCTTCAAAATATATATTTTTTTTGTGTCTCCACAGAAGACAGAAAGTCAAAAAAGGTTTGGGCATTTTTGGGAGAACTATCTCTTTAACGAAGAAGAGATAATGGCTTCCCATACATACGTTTGAAAATTGCAAAATACAGCAGTTAAACTATATCAAAAAGCTGTTTTTATTGTGAAAAGGTGCGTGTGAATGAATCAACCAAGATGTCACAAGTCAAGCTGAGAGATGGTGACACCTGAAACATGTACTGTCGATTTCACAAGACTTAAAAAGATGTTTTTTGGTTGACTGGTGCATGACACCATCTTAGATAAGTGTTGTTATTACAGATTATCAAGACAACCCTATGAAAGTATCTTATAAATAATTGTCTGAGAGCTAGTAGTACAAAGGAAATAACTTGAAATAAGAGTGTCCGAAAACTTTCACAAGATACTTACTGTTGTTGCTGTGTCATTTCAAAATTTATTTCATGTACTGGTGAAGTACTTTCACAACAAGAAAGTTAATCCAAATGACAAAGTCAAAAAGAGAAGTTGATGTTTGTTCCACAGAACACACAAGAACTACACTTTAACATACAGACAATGTTGCTGAAAAATAATGTCATTATTTGAGAATACATTCTGTGCTTGAGGCATACAGTAAATGCACATGGCAAAACTGTTGAATGCGCCTAATAGTTTGCAAAGACCTAAACATGGTACTCACATTCCAGCTGGAAGAACATCCACCTGAAGTTCAAACATAAAGCGAAGAGCCTCTGTCAGCAGCAAGTCCACAAAAGCAGAGAGAATCCAGGCTCCAAAAAGGAAGGACTGAAAATTGTGTTCAAAGATATGACAAAGTCTTAGGCGTTCAGTTTTCTCCAAAAGGATAATGACATTTTAACAAAAACAAAAAAAACATAGATCTTTAAGATGTACAAGATTAAGTCAAAATTATGAGACTAAAAAAATCTAAATTATGACATAACTAAGTCGAAATTATGACTTGCTGCTCATTGATCTGACGCGACCCGACATAGGATTAATTGTGAATACATCAATGAGTATTTTAAAGGTGGTTTTAGCTATTAATGATAAGATTATTGCCAGAATGGCAAGCCTCAACTTGTTTCACTTGACAATACAATTTCAACAGCCGTTTATGAGCACTATTCATTCATATTGCACATTTAATATTAGGTTTTAAAAACGTATGTTGTCCACTACAGTTTCTTCATGCTTATGGCATCCTGAAGACCAGTATTTTAATGATTTCTAAAAGATTTTAAAGGATTAGTTCACTTTTGAAAAAACTTTTGCTGATAATTTACTCACCCCCATGTCATCCAAGATGTCCATGTCTTTCTTTCCTCAGTCGAAAAGAAATTTAGGTTTTTGATGAAAACATTCCAGGATTTTTCTCCATATAATGGACTTCAATGGGAACCGGATGGTTCAAGGTCCAAAAGACAGTTAATAACTGTTTCAGATGCAGCTTCAAATGTCTTTAAACGATATCAGACGATGAATAAGGGTCTTATGCGAAACGATCGGTTATTTCAAAAATTATTCCAAAAATGTAACTTTTCTAAGGACAAATGCTAGCCTTGCTCTATTCTGTGAGGCGCGTTTGCAACGTCACGTATTACGTAATTACGTTCAAAAGGTCACGGGCGACGTAGCCGAAAGTACAGAGTCAGTGTTTACAAGTTGAACGCATAGGTTGAACGTGCAAACTAACTCAAACACCGTTTACAAAAAAAGGAATTAAAAGGAAAAATAACGATGTCGGACGATTTTGATTCTGTACTTCCGGCTACGTCGCCCGTGACCTTTTGAACGTAATTACGTATTACGTGACGTTACAAACGCGCCTCAGAGAATATAGCAAGGCTAGCATTTGTCCTTAGAAAAGTTACATTTTTGGAATAAGTTTTGAAATAACCGATCGTTTCGCATGATGAGACCCTTATTCATCGTCTGGTGTCGTTTAAAGACATTTGAAGCTGCATCTGAAACTGTTATTAACACTATCTTTTGGACCTTGAACCATCCGGTTCCCATTGAAGTCCATTATATGGAGAAAAATCCTGGAATGTTTTCATCAAAAACCTAAATTTCTTTTCGACTGAGGAAAGAAAGACATGGACATCTTGGATGACATTGGGGTGAGTAAATTATCAGCAAAAGTTTTTTCAAAAGTGAACTAATCCTTTAAGTAGTATTACATCACATCGTGAATGTATATTAACACCATTCCTTGTTTTCTTTTGGCACCTGATAAGAGCGTTTGGATCAGAAAGCAGAGACACATGACGTTAGACTTAAGGAGTGGATTATTCACACCAGAGACTTACAGCAAATTTATGGCTGCCAAACCTCCTCTCAAATATACGGAAATTGTAGATAAGCAAACTGCTGCAGAAAGTGTCTTTCAGGTCCAGGCAGATGAGCCGTCCACTCACCAGCCTCCAGAACTACAAGAGAGACATGGAAAACACACACAATATTAGAAATATTTAAAAAAATATTATAGACAATCACAACCCAATAAAATGTATCGATTATATGTGAAAATTGATCTGAAGTACCGACCTAGTGTTTAAGCGAAAGTGCAAAGAATAAGTCAAACGCCCAGTACAAAGAAATTATGAAAATAAAAGGTAAAACAGCTAAATTATTTTAGTAAAAAAAAAAAAAACATTTTAGAGCAATTTACAGTGTTTAAGTCACCACAAAATCATAATGGACATTTTTATTGAATTTTTTTATGGAATACTGCAGTATGCATTAAGATAATTTAACACACTATTTTTTTATTTTTTTTTAAATTTGTGTGCCCTCGTAATCTTTCATCAAAATAACTTCCTCTTGCAACAACATCTCCTCTTCTCTTCTCTGGTCAGGTCAGGTGACGTGTTTTCGGCACAAGGGCGGGACAATTTGTCACTCACATAAGATCACACAGCAATTGCAAACCAAAACAATCCAATCAATTCCTGATGGACAAAATAATATCCCGTCTAACATTTACGTTGCAATAGCGAAGAAAAGACTACCACACCTCCAGTTTCATTCTGACTTTAAAAGTGTAGCTACATTTTATATAGTGCACTGAATTATTAAAGTAAATTCACGTAGATTGGTGTATTATCTCACCTGTTTATCCTGCCTGACAGCCTGGAGGTTGTATATGAACATATCCTGGTACTGAGGCGGAAGCACAGTCAGCAGTACAGAGAGGACTGTAGGAAGCAGCAGTAAGCTCTTGGACAGGGGTGCTTTATCTGTAGGACAGCAGAGAAGCCATGTCAAGGGATGAAAGTTTATTTTCCAAATTTCCTATAAGTCCTTTTGGTAAATATGTGAGCTCAACAAGTGCAGTCAGCATAGATGACAGTCAGACACACAATTTAAATGCTATTAAAGTTTTCATTCATATTTTAAATTAGTTTTCATTTGAATATTTTTATAGTTTTAATTTTTTTTTTTATATATTTTGGGTCAATGACATGACAGATATTTTATTTCCTTTGAAAAAAAAGTATTTAAAGGTACAATATGTAGGAATTTTCACCACTAGTGGTCTCTAACCTCTTACAATAATAGAGGCGTATATCGATGATGCAAAGGATTAAGCGGAATTATGTATTTTGTTGTCAAGCTGATGGATCCTTTATGGATGAGTGAATACGTTTTTAACATGACCGTGGTGTGAAGGAGGGCGCGATTGCTACACGTTTAATGTTACCAGCACCGCATACATCATGAGTCCTGCGGATATAAAGGAATAAGGACATTTCATTCTACCGAACTACTCGCAAGTGCTGAACTACTCACACAGGTCAGTGTATTAGACTAATTAAACTTGAGGTAACGCAGTGCTGTTTCACTTGCTCTAACAGTTACACTATCACACTAAACGGCATTTGAGTGTGTTGAATGTTGTCAGTTAGGTTGTGTGTTGGATGTATGAGACTAAGTACGTTAAGCTAGGTCAACATTAGAACAACATAAATATAATAAACATGTAATAAAGTACGTGGAACATCGTGTCTCTGTCAAGTCGAAGTTAAGGCGTGGACATGGAGCTCTCAGCATCTCGAAAGATATTGATTTTCGTTTTAGTCCTCTTTTTGTCTCAAAAGCCTGCTTGCCATGCTCCATAATGTTTGCTCCATAACAAAACAACGACAGTGTGAGCATCCTTCTAGGAATAACGGCATAACCATAGACTGTAAAAAATAACCCCAACGTCTATCGCCATGGTTACTATGGCACTACGAATGGAAACCAATGGTAAAGCGGATATGACACAACTGACTGGCGACTCCTCACCCTTGCTGACACGCCCCGTTTCCTTGGTTAAAATCGCAGTCTTCTCACGATTTACAAATAGTTGGAAAGTGAAACATTTGGGATATTGTAAGTAATCAACTAAACAAAATATATAACATTGGCCTAGTGGTTTTAGGGTATTTTACTGCAAAAATCCTACATATTGTACATTTAAATTAAAATTAATGACATCACTTTAAACTATAAAACTTACTTAGTTTTAATTAATTTTCAGTACAATCAAATATCCAATATTGTTTTATGTTTGGTGTATCTTAAACCCTCAAACTGTGGCATTTTACAATGCAAGCCAAATTTAAAATCAAACGATATAATTATTTTGTATTTCACAGAATAATTAAAGTCACAGGCTTAGAACAGCTTAAGAAAAGGTATTTTTTTTTACTAAGAAAAGGTAAAAAGAAGAGTTCATTCAATCTCTGTATGTCTAAGTTAGCTCTCATTGTAAATAATAAAACATGTCGCATTTCCGAGAGCAGCGCCTGTTTCACCCCCAACTTTTTAAACGAAAGCAAAACTTCCTGTCTTAAATCGCGAGGTAAAGCAAAATCATTTGAAGGCAAGGATGATGTCTGAAATGTGATAATAATCGATTAAAGGTCATGACGACTGAGCTTTAATCTGAATGAATGACAGCAGGATATGATCTTCATGACATGATGATTTTGAGCTATAATTACTTACACAATCCCCACGAACCGGTGGACGTAAACATCATGCCACTTATGCGGAATATAACTAAGAAGACTGACAAGATAACGTTTTAAAGGCACTGAATGTACAACGTAAAAACATTAGAAGTTAAATGGAAATCTCGCCATATGAGAGGGAAGGGGAAAGGGTATCAAGGATGGTGCCTCGCAGGAGACAATCTTCATCCGCGTCACTCCTACAAAATAAGCGTTTTCTGTTATGAGCCACTAGAGGCCGTGAGTTAGTGACTTTACCACACAGGTTGTTTAGACTTTTATGTCAATAATTTTGACTTAAATATTGATTTTATATATCATAATTTCAACATTTCACATAAATAAGTTAGTAAGTCGTACATTTAACAACTCTAAAAACAAATTAGGCAACTGGCGAAATTTCCGAAGCATATTTTTCCCCTCATGTGATGTGGCAGAATGTCTTCCTTCCATAGATTTTGTCAACTGTTTTTCACAACACATGTATTTGTCTTAAAGAAACTGATCTAAACATGGAAATGAGAGATTGTCCATGTTTTTAATCATCCATGGTTTTGTCTGATGGTTATACAGTCGTGCTCAGAATTAATGGCACCCCTGTTAAATATGATGAAAACTGGCTGTAAAAAATAATTCTGCATTGTTTATCCTTTTGATCTTCCATTCAAAAAATTGGCAAAATTCTTTCATTGAAGCTAAAGAATTGAAAGTGGGGGTAAATCACACTATGAAATAAATGTTTTTCTCCAAAACACTCTGGCCATAATTGTTGGCCCCCCTAGAATTTTTTATGAGAAAAATATCTCTGAAGTACATTCCCATTAATATTTAATTTTTTAAGCAAATCAGGGTGACTAGGAACATGAAATTGTCCAGCTATGACTTCTTGTTTCAAGGAGTTTAAATATGAGGAAGCACAAAGGTCAAATTCCCTGAATCATCCATCACAATGAATAAAACCAAAGAACATGGTTCTGATGTGCATCAAAAGATTGTTGAGCTTCACAAAATAGAAAGTGGATGTAAGAAAATAGCTAAAGAATTGAAAATCCCCATTTTGACCATCAGGACAATAATTAAGAAGTTATAATCAACTAAAGATGTTATGATTCTGCCAGGAAGAGGAGGTGTGTCTATTTTGCCTTAATGGACGGTGAGGATGAAAGTTTGAGTGTCCAAAGACTCTTCAAGGATCACAGATGGAGAATTGCAGAGATTAGTTGAGTCTTGGGGTCAGAAAACCTAAAAAAAAATATCAGACAACCCCTACATCCCCACATGTTGTTTGAGAGGGTTTCAAGAAAAATGCTCCTCGCTCATCCAAAAACAAACTCCAGCATATTCAGGTGTCAGACACAACTGGATCTTCAAACGTCACAGGGTTCTGTGGTCAGATGAAACTACAAAGCAAACCCAGCAGATGTGTTTGGTGCAAACAGGGATGAAGAGTACCCCATGCCTACGGTTAAATATACTGCTGGATCTTGTATGTTGTGGGCCTATTTATTTGTTGGAGGTCCTGGACATCTTGTTCCGATACATGGTATTATGGATTCTATCAAATACAAAAAGATAAAAAATAAAAACCTGATGCCTTCTGCTAGAAATCTTATAATGGGCCGTGGTTGGATCTTCCATCAGGACAACGATCCAAAACAAAAATCAAAAATCAACACAAAAATTAGTTACGGAGCACAAAATGAAGCTTCTGCCATGACCGTCCCAGACCCTGACCTGATGAGTGGAGTGAACTGAAGAGATGAAGCACCAACATGAATCTGGGAATCTGCAGGATCTGGAGAGAGTCTGTATGGAAGAATGGTCTCTGATCTCTGGTCAGGTGTTCTCCAAACTCATCAGGCATTATAGGAGAAGACTCAGATAGGTTATCTTGGCAAAAGTTAACAGATCTGAGGTTGCAAAAAGTTTTTAAAAAAACTTGAATGCAAAAAGCATTCAAAACACACTAGAAAAAACAGAAAAACACATATTTTAGTGGAAAATTTAGTGTTTACCCTAACAAGTAGGCCTATGTTTAATTACCACAATAAAATTAATTCACAAAATTAAAATGATATGTCCTTGTCCAAGCATAACAGCCTTTGCACTTGACATCAATGTATTATGTTCACAATTAATGTATATGAGCTTTCTATCATTTGAAGCAGATAAATATGGGAATGATGTATAGCTACCAATATATGAAGTAGTAACATTAGTAGTAGTAGTAACATGTAATCTTTATTTTCAATATTATTTAACGAAATGTGAAATAAAGCGTAATGAAAAACTGTATCACTGTCACCGTCTCTCAAAGAAAATTGTGTTGGGCTTGGACCATAGACTGTAAAAAAAGTTTGGCTTGGACCTACAAATTTTATTATACTGCACTGTAGCTTAGTGACCACACGATGGCAGCGCAATCTTCCGGATTGATTGACTACTAGACATACAGTGACAATTACAAAAACACGATTAATTAAACCAAAGCTAACTATCTCTTACAATGGATGCATTGTATGTCTCTAAACTATGTAAACGATGCAACTTTTCATATCACTTTAAATTAAATTGAAGTTATGAATCATGTTTAAGTTTTTAAAGTTCATTCTCCTCATGAAATGTATAGTTAAATACTGTCACACACACACACACACACACACACACACACACACACACACACACACACACACACACACACACACACACACACACACACACACAAAATATGACATGTCTTAATGACCTTATAATAATAATTTTATAATAATTTATAATAATAATAATAGTTTTAGGAATTTATGAAATGACCCACTACAGTTTCACTGTGTTCTTGATGTCTTTTCTTTTAGTTTTGGGGAGAAACCTTTCAGCCACATCAATGAATGGTAAAGACTTTTAAAATATTTAACTATAGTATCGCTGAAACTTTGTTTCTGCTATTATGATATTCTGACTTTTTAATGTTTAGTTTTTGCTATTTTACTATTCTGATTGCATTGAAAATGTGAACATCAGCATCAATTTCAAGATGTGAAAATCAACGGTATACCGTTTTTTAAATAGGAATTACACAGCATCCATGGTGGGCCAATCAACTGTTCTTCTTGGCCTTCAGGTCTTGAGATTTTCAGAACCTGCATTGTGAGTCTAATAATTGACAGTACCACATGTGAAAATTTCATCAAAATAAAAACTTCTTTTCACCCCTGTTCAATCAGTTAATTTATGCGGTTTAAAAATGTTTGAATGGTTTTCCTTAACCTTCATTTCAACTGTGTTGTTTTGTTCAGTGATATGAGAGTTTACTGAAAGGGTAGTTCACATTCAGTTTACTCACACTATAAGTGCACTATTAATCAATGATGTGGCAAACAGATCCTAGAAAATAATGCACATATTTTCTACTCTGAGATGAATATCTCTGTTGTGTTCTAGCTGCAGCAACAACAAAGAGAGTTCTTGCATTCACATCTGTCAGATGTCATTTTGACTGTCATCTGACAACCAGAGACCTTGACCTCAGATCCTTGTATCTCCCAATAATAAGACTATCTTGTTTAACCAACAAAGTGACGCTGATGTGTTGTTCATTCTAAACAATGCAGAAATATAGAAGCTAAGAAGATCTTGGTTTATGTCAAGCCCATAACCAAGCTGTTCACAAAGAATGCATTTTATGCAATACTTTTCCATCGGTTTTCTAGGTAAACATGAAGTATGAGTTTGCCCCAGTGAGCCTTCTCACACAGACTGTGACTGTGGAAAGTCAGGGAGGAAGAGGAGCAGGTCTTTCTAGTTGCCCGTGATTGGCCCAACCAGACCTGGTTTCCAGAACTGATGCTCCTCTCCACAGTCCCTCCTTTTCTCTCAGGAACCTTTTCTCTCAGGAACAGGGCACTGTATGGCGGAGGTTCTAGGTGATCTACCACAAGCTGTTGTAGATACCATCACTTCTGCGAGAGCACCCTCTACAAGGCATGCTTACGCCCTGAAGTGGAACCTGTTTGTTGACAGGTATGAGAAGACCCCCAAAGGTCTTCGATCGGTACTGTGCTTTCCTTCCTGCAAGATGGGTTGGAGCGTTGTCTCCCTTCACTCTTAAAGTGTATGTTGCCTCTATTGCTGCACCTATAAGGTGCAGTTGATGGGAGATCCATGGGGAAGCCTAAGGGGAGGTTCCTGATGGGGAGCGAGAAGTGAGGAGGAGGCAGACCCAGTCCTGGCTTTTCACTGTCCCGTTTGCACCTGTATGTGTACAGAATGAAAAGCCTCAGGACCTCAGACCAACTCTTTGTCTGTTACGGAGGCCAGCAGAAGAGAAAGGCTGTCTCCACTGGATAGTGGATGCCATCATCTTGGCGTATCAAGACGCACCGCCCACCCCGGATTGCGAGCCCACTCTTCTTGGGTGCTGGCACAGGGGGCCTCGCTGACAGATATTTGTAGAGCTGCGGGCTGGATCATAGCTTGTCAAGTGTTGAAAATTGTATATAGTGTTTGAACAAATGTGTCAGAAAAAGTGCACTTTCAACACGGTCCCTTAGCTTTCCCGGCGAAACTCACATTGCGGGGGCTTTTGAGGGGCAGTGCTTATTACATAGAGCGAAGTCATATTTGGCTAAGTCGTTTAGGAGGTAATTCCCATTTTTCAATGAATTCCTGGTGAATATCAAAAACAAAACTAACTTTACCCCGCTTAGAAGCTGTGCGGAGTGTACACAACACACACAACACAATATAACTATATTGTGCATGCTACAGAAAACATAACAGCAAACATTATTAATATTACTTACAGATTGTGATTCGGAGGAGGACGAACCTGATCCATAACATTACACTGGATTGCAAATATTACTCATTGCAAATATGAACTCTGACCACTGATTCTTCACATGCTCATCCCTGGACAATGGAAACAAGTGGCTGAACTGTCTTTGCAATGTAGAACACAGCGTCTTCTCGACATGATGCGATTCAGCTGAAGAATTTGAATGTGTTCTAGACGTCACTTCAAGTCTGCGCGCGCAGTTGTTGGGAGCAGCCAATGACCTCTCTACGTCACGATGTAACAGCTAATGACTCGTTTCAAAAAACAATTCATTTCATAGACTCTCTCACTTTTGAAAGACAATAACTTTATAAACGGTGCACTTTCAGATATAAATCTTTGCAGGATGTTTTC